GGATTAAAAGTAAGTAGCAGTTTGAATACCTACCGTATTAATAGGTTTAACATTAGGTTGTATGCAGTATACTTCCTTAAAGGAGCTAAGTAGGTACTTCAAGTGTTTGTTGGAGTTGTAATAGTGTAAACCACATCCTGTTTTTCAATGTACCATGATATGTTTTTTGTTTTGGGGTTTTTTTTGTATCATTTTAAAAATATATAGTAAAATTTTCCACCAAGACTCCAAGCTAATACCAATGTGACATATTCATGCCTCACTACGGCAACAAGCTCTTGAACGTGTCTTGTATAATGTGATGTTATTTGAGTATAACAGAAGCAAAAGCATAATATACAGATTTATATGTAATTAGTGAATGCCAGTAAAATGATTTTTTGCTCACACTGCATTTTGATGATGGATAGAAGGAGCCCTCAAACTCTAACATTAAGAATATAATAATGCAGATTTGAGTTACAGCTGGCTAGATGCACTGTACACTCAGAACAAAATATGAATATTTAAAGAAAAATTCTACAAATTTAATCTTTAAAATGTTAATTAAGGGATAGATACAATATACAATGTCTTGATTATAATGTTGATAATAATCAACAGCATCAATAAAACTGATAATACTAATAATAGATGAAATGATTTTGAAGTATTTACCAAGTACATTGTAAATATTGTTTGAAATGTCCACTAATTCTCAAAATAATAATTTTTCTAAAAATGTTTTCCAACAGTTTTTTTAATTTACTTTTTAACTTCTTAATGACTTAAAGGGTCACTGCATTCAAAACATAATATTAATTATAATTATTATATTGTACGTACAGAACCGGACTTCTGCGGACTTCTACATGTTTCATGCTTATTGCATTATTTAATAAAAATTTAATTTATACATAATTAGCAAAATTATCTTATTTTGAAAACCAAAACATTTTATTTTTTTATCCTATCTTAAACATTTGTCATTGCCACTGCATTCAAAACATAAAATTAATTATTATTATTATTATATTGTACATAGAGATAACTGGATTTTTGCATGTTTCATGCTCATTACATTATTTAATAAAAATGTAATTTATACATTATTAGCAAAATAATCTGAATTAAATTATTACATTTCCTGAAAACCGAAACATTTTATTTCATAAGATCCTATCTTCACTAAATGTCATCTATGTTTGATAATTTTTTTTGTTTTTTTTTTTTGTTTTTTTGTTTTTTTATTTTAGTAGCAATAATAGATGACTATTATTTTTTGTATGATATTTGTAAATATAAACATTTCTCTTTGGAACTGATCAATGTGACTGTTCTTGTTGGGTTTTTTTTCATATATTTTGTGATAATAATAATAATAATAATAATAATAATAATAATAATAATAATAATAAAATATTTATAATGCAATAATTTCAAATAAATGATCAAAAGCGCAGAGTTGCCAATGACGATGTAGTAACAACAAAAGGTGATTGTGGCAGCCTGTGTCAGTGGTAAGGACAATATGATGATGATAGAATTATGGGTAATATCCATGATGATGGTGATTGAATTGATGACTTCGATGATGTTGGTGAGGGGTGATGATAATGAAAAAGATATTCATAATGATGATAATGTTGATGGTGTGGGGAGATGATAAGGATATTCATGATGATGGAGATTGATTTTAATGACAACAATGTTCATGATGATGACATGGAAGATAATGACAAGAATATTCATCATGATAATGGCAAAAATGCTTGTTAGTGATGATGATTATAATAATGCTGATGAAAAAATATCACAATGAATACCCATCACATCACTCAACAAATAAATTGCTATTTTTATTACTTACAGACAAATCACAGGGGCAGATCAAGAGATGTCCAAAATGGAGGGCGATCGAGATAACAGTATTTAGGGGGTTCGAGGGCATGCCCTCGCGAAATTTCTGCGTTCAAGATGAAAAAATAACTTCTGAGGCCTTTTTGAGGGAACAATTTTTTTTTTTCTTTATCTTCACCTTTTTTTTTTTTTTGACTTTCCAAAAGGGGTGGTCGGGGCCGGCCCACTCTAAATCCGCCCCTGCATGATTGACCAAGATGATTTGTAAAAAATTCAAAACTTTCACCTGATCGTACAAGGTGTCTGCTACAAATTTTCAAAAACAAACCTTTTTCATCGTAATTGAACGACTAACAAATGCTACAGCCACATGATTGATTAATTTATAAAACATTCAAATTATTAATTATGTTTAAAAACAAAACTTTTTCATTGTAATTAAACAGTTATTAAAATATTATGGGACCAAAAGATTGGTATTAAAGGAAAAACCTTTAACTGTCCTACGGTAAAGTAAGTGCAGAGGGGAACAGTAGACGCACACACATATAATGTGAAGGAGATAACTTTACCATAAGTGAATATATAATTATAAACAATATACATGCTTGAAGTATTGGGTCGTTTAAAGAAGCTCTAAAGCTTATAATGACCTATCTAATTTAGAAGTCGCAAATACAGATTGTAAAATTGGGTTGGGTGGTTTGGGATGGGATAAGGCAATTGCTAACTTGATTGAGGGCGCTATTATACCGGCGAATGAAAACGAGGCTATCTACACTGCATGTTCTGATAACCGGTCAGTCTGTAAGAAAAATGGCCATGTTAGCAAGTAAAGTACCTCTATTTGCACCCTCAGGGTAAGCGTTTATGAACTAGAATTACAAACTTTATAGGCCTAATATAAACCAAAAAATATATATTAGTTTAATTTGTGATCTTATATCGATTTTCATCGGAAATTTTACTGTCTGTAGGGCCTTGCAACGCTGCCTAGGCTAGGCTTTTTTTCTATAGCCCTAGAGGCTAGCCCGTAGAGTAGAGAGGCCTAGACCTCAATACTTGTGTAGGCTAGGCCTAGACTGTGAACATTGTAGTATTTTAGTCAAGGCCCTAGGCCTAGTCCCTTTCGTATGCTAGGCCTAGACTCTTTGTTGTAAGAACGTGATCGATTGGTCTAGCCTAGTTCTCATCTTAGTACTCTGTTTATACTACTTGCAATGATAACGATAAAAAAAATCTAAAAATCAATTGTTCATATAAAAAATAAAAGAAATAACAGGAGTTTTTACATTAGGACGATTCGATAACGATTTATCATGTATACGGTACCAAAATATTTAGACATATCATTTGAAGTGATGTCATAATCATGGAAAAACGATAAAATCATTGTTACTACTACGATTTTTTTGTGTTTCAGTGATTACGACGTTATTTCAATTGGTATGTGAAATTATTTTTTATTGTATAGACGATGAGTCGTTATCGAATTGTCCTCATGTAAAAACTTATTTCTTTTATTTTCCATATGAAAAATTGCTTTTTAGCTTTTTATCGTTGCAAGTATAAACAGGGCGTAAGTCACTGTCAGACAGTTGATTGGAGTCGCACTCAAGCTAGGCTAGGCCTCCGTACCTAGGTAGCCTAGGCTTGGCCTACAATAGGCCTACAGCCTTACATACAGTTTAGGCCTAAGCTAGCCTAGGCCTACACATTATTTTTGTTTTATTTTATAGAATAATGGTAAAACAAAATCTATTCCTATAGAGCTAGGCCTAGACTAAGGATAAGGACACTTTTGAGTCCCAGACTGTAAAATAATGCCTGCACAAAGTCCTGTCCCCCATGCAAAAATTAGGCCTAAGCCTACCTATGCCCCTACAGGCCTAAGCAAGCTAGTCCAGACTCTAGCCCATCTACTTTGTGGAACACAAAATATCAAATTTCAGTCTTATTTTACATTTTGTTCCTGCTTAGAAATATCTAAATTCAGTTAAACTAGCAATTCCGTATTATGTTTATAAATCTTTATAACATACAAAAATTAGATTTTTCTTAACAACTGAAATTTTGCCGGGAATGGGGCTTTCCCGTTTTTATGTGTAACAACACAACCTAAATCGAGGTAAGGCTAGGCCTAGCCTAGCAGTGTTGGATAGGCTAATGTTTTCGGCGCCTGCTATTGTTCTTCGCAGACCTGTTGCAAAATCGAACATGAAAAATTCATCCGCATTTATTTTTTGTGTGGAACACAAAAAATCAAATTTCAATCTTATTTTATATTTTGTTCCTGTTTAGGAATATCTAAATTCAGTTAAACTAGCAATTCCATATTATTATTATATTTATAAATCTTTATAACATTATACAAAAATTAGATTTTTCTTAACAACTGAAATTTTGCCGGGAATGGGGCTTTAATACAAACTAAAACCTAAAGTATTAAAAACAGGAACCAATAAAAAACAGATATAGGTACAAATTAAGTAAAGGCTTAGCAGCAGTAACTGATGAGATACTGTAAGGTGATTATATTTTCTGCCTGTACATATTACATGGTGATGTCTAGTTGATTTATAATAAAAACAATATATACACGACAAGGAGGTACTGTATTTGATTTGTAATGTAAATAGGCAAAGTCAACTAAACAACACATGGATCCAAATAGAGCCATGCAAGACCACACTGATGCAAAAATGTTCTAAGTATCACCATGCAAGGGTAGATAGGCCTTCTTAATTTCTTCATATATTAAAAAACATATCTTATTTGCCTTTATTTTTAATAAATTTTAATTGTAAATATTTGATTATTTAAGAATCTAATTGTTGTAACTTTAATGTTTCATATTTTATTAGTTTTGTAGAATTTAAATGTTTTTTTCTAAATAATTTTTACAATTTTAAGATGTTTTTTGTCTTTTGTATTTGTGTTTATTCGTATTAAATGTATTTTCATGTAATTCAGTGGTTATATTGCCAGTTGAGAAATTATGCTTATGTACTGTTAGCGATAATTGTTGAAATTCTGATTAAGATTGATTAATAATATTGTGACAGGTTTCCCTACTGCAGAAAGTTGATACTACATTTCTGCACTGGTGAAACACTCTCTGCTCTTAAATCTTAACACCAAAAATAATTTGTAGGTATGTCAATGAAATTCTCTGGAGGAAATTAAGTTGAGATGCTCATATATTTTGGTATTCATTCAAGAAATAATGTGTAATGTTAGTGAATCTAAATAATATTGTACCGTACAGTACTTTACTGTAGAAGATGTTTTCATTTAGACAAAGTCAGATGTATCACATTACATTAATGAAACATATTAATTTTCTTGATACAGGGTGCAAGTTCGTAACATGGCCACACTTAAAGAGAGTAAGTACAGATGTGTAAAGACAAAAATAATTACATTAGAAAGAGGATTTATCTTCTTTGTAAATGGTTAAATGCTAAAAGTTTTCTACATATCATCATCATATACGTTTTGAGTCCATTTTGATAATGGGTTGTTTTTTTTTTCCTTTCATAAATTTTTAAAATACTATTTATTTTTAATTATTGTTATTACTTTTTAATTAATTGTTATCATTATCATTATCTTCATTATTATTATTAAGCATTACAATAATTTATTACATTTTTACAGTTGCTGCGCGTCTTAAATCTGTCAAAAATATTCAGAAGATAACAAAGTCAATGAAGATGATAGCAGCAGCTAGGTATACAAAGGCAGAAAGAGAGTTGAAACCTGCTAGGCAATATGGCTCAGGACCTCAAGGTACGAATGCATTTTAGTTTGCAACGATATTCTTATTTTATTACATTTTATTACCCATATTGATGTACGTGTTAGACAAGACTTTTTTTATACCTTGTTTAGCAAACCTGCCGCTTGTAAATAAATGATGATTTAGAATAAAAAATCAGGGGCGGATCCATTAATAAAATTTTATAATGTTTGTAAAAAATTTTGATTTGTTTTCCTTTCAGATTTTTATTCAAAGGCTGAACTTGAAGCAGACGTAAGCAAACCTAACCATCTTATCATTGGTATGTCAAGTGATAGGGGGCTCTGCGGGGGTATACATAGCAGTGTATCGAAGGCCATTAAACGAACGCTTGACGAGAAACCAGAAGGTGTAACAACGAAAGTAATCACAATTGGTGATAAAATCCGAGGACAACTTTTAAGGTTTGTTTGAATACAGTAGAACCCCTCATTTACGTACGGCACAGGCCCAGAGCCGTTCGTAAATTCGGGTATTCGTAAAATCGGGGTTGACCCAAATTCCTGTGTATTTGCACTGATACTACTTACACTGGCCTATACAGGCTTATGCAGCTAAGTCTGAGGGGGCCTAGGCCTACAGTTGGCAGCTTCTAAGCATTCTGATCCCACTCTAGGCCCTGCACAAATTTGTTTTTATCGGACATTTTTACCTTCTTAAATACCTAGATCGTGGAATTATTCCAACACAACTTCCATAGATAAAAAACCATAAAAAACACTGACTTTGAAGAGGCCCGTTAGAGGGCCTCCTTCACTTGAGAATTACATAGTACTGTATAGTATGGTGTGTTGTGTTGTTTGCATGGTAATAACAGGTACAATTCGAGCGGGTTTTTTTTTTTTAATCTTTCGCTTTAATTTTTATGACGTCATCACCTTTATATTACGTTCGTAAAATCGGGAATTCGTAAAATTGGGGCTCGTAAATGAGGGGTTCTACTGTACTTGCATTTGCTGAACTTTAAAGTCAGGCTTCGGAGGAAAAAAACGTTTTGGTATGTTGTAGAACTGATTTTACTAAGACAGAAAAATGTAGTTTGATATAAAAACTGAGCAACGGTGAATGAGATACAGATTTTTGAATATTTAAAAACAGATTTTGGAATATTTAAAAACTGGCGGGAAAAAGGTGTAAAAATGGGCGGTTACGCCCCAGTTTTTCGTCAAACAACTTTTTTCTGTCTTAGAAAAATTAGTTCTACAACATATCAAAAAATTTGTTTTCCTCCGGAGTCTGACTTTAACTAATTACAACATGAGAATATCTACCCATAAAGTTACTGCATGTAGGTTCCTTATACATTGATTTCTGAAGTAAGTAACATAAATAATAAATCATTAGCTCTTTGTAAATATTAGGCTAGTTCAAGTTGATGAATACATTTATGTAGGAATTGGAATGCAAAAATGAATTTAATCTGAGTTTTGTCATCATCACAGTGTAGTGATTTGAGTGTTGTCTTTAGATGGGTTGTGGAATGTGGTGTTTATAAAGCCCTGTCCAGACTATCAAATTGTCCATATATAACCATGATTTGCCTATATATGGTCATGATGTGATGTCATCATGACCATATATAGCCATGATTTGCCTATATATGGTCATGATGTAATGATGTGATGGAAATATTTAGGCATGTCACGTGTTTTGTTTTTCAGAACTTAAGCATCATAATAATTTGTGTTGCTTTTTACTAATCCTTCAGAACAGTGTACGATGTGTTAAAATCAGTGTTCGATTTCCAGCATTTTTTGTGTGTAGCAAAAAGTGCTATGCACTTTTCATTTTGTGTAGCAATTCAAAAATTGTGCATAGCATTTTTTTAGCAGTGATAATAAATGATTATTAAAGGAAAAAAAAAAACATTGAAACATACCCCATAATATTCCCTTATTTACTTTGAATTTCCCTTCAATAATATTATACCCACCCCGTGCAGAAGTCGACCTGGCCGTGATTACCAATTTACCGACTGTGACAACTGTCAAACACTGTCCGTTTGCTTGTCTCACTCCCACTGTCATACTGTCCCATATTTGTTGTAAGCAATGTACGGCCTGACTAACAGCGCCGAGAAAAAATGTAAGATAATTTGCATACTGCACATCTGCATGTGCATGACATGCCACGCTAGTATGGTACATACTGGAGAAGCAGAATGGAGGGAGTGGAGAAATATTAGGTAATATTGTACACAGGAAAGAAGCCCGACTCGTACTCAAACTAGCTGCATGAATAACGATGTACATGTAGCATTGTATGTGTACACTCGATGTAAACAAGCATATTGTGCTATTTTTTGGCCAAAACATTGGATAACAACTTGACTTTGACTGTTTTTAAAACAATTTTCTGAACCTTTTTGTGCACTAAGCCTCTTAGTTTTTACAGCCAGGCCTTGCCGAAGACTGAGCCGGTAATTCTAGGCAAATAATTGCGTCGCATTTTATTGTGATGCATTTGAGGAAGTGCTTCGCAGTTAGTTTAAAACACGTCACATTTTGCAATGTGATACTGGGTAAATCAATGCTGGTTATAACTTTGTTGAAAGAATTGAGTTGGTTGGTTTGCCACATCAAATTATAAATATGTAATCTAGTTTAGCTATAGTATGTTAAAACAGCACACAAGGCTAGAATGCCAAATGACTTGATGAATTTCTATCTTGATTTCAATTGACTGATCTTTTTTTCAATTTAGAGTTCATGCTGATAAGCTGATGATGGGTTTCTCCGAGGTTGGCAGGAAGTCACCAAATTTTACTGTAGCTTCAAATGTGGCAAGCGCCATCCTTGACAGCGGTTACGAATTTGATGTTGGAGAAATCATTTACAATCGCTTTAGGTACATATATTGCGAATCATGTAGTTGGAGTTACCATACCTCATAAAGATTAATTACTCAATAACAACATTTTTTGACTACTGCCCTGCGTATGCATATTTTCAGATGCGTGAGAAAAAAGTGCCGGCCAAAAACGAAAGTCTGGCTATGTAAACCCTATAAAGGTAGGAGGTAAAGGAAGTAGAATATCCCATAACTTGCAGCGTCATTGTGCTGAATTGCATAATGGCCGTGGTCCGTGACTACTTAGCTGTCGTAAATAGGAGCTTCATGGTAGATACATGTTCATATCATTCCACAACAACGGGCTGAAATGAACCATAACATCAGGGTAACCCCTACTCTTCCGAAAGATGCAATGGGTTCTTTAAAGTGCACGTGAGCCAGATGTATACACTGGACCTCCATTTTAAGTCTTAGAAGACTTGGTTCTACCAACCGAACCATGGGCGAGGAGCGATGTCAAGGCTGAAGCTAGCGGCGTCCCTGCCTTACTGCTCAGCCACTTGACTCGCCATATGTGAACTACGTAATTTTACCTCACAGCTTAAAACAGCTAATGTATAGTTGGATGTGCAGTATATAAAATACAACATGGTATTATTTCGGTAAAGCAGTGAATTCTACTTCGACTGGTGTTGGATTATTATCCAAAACCAAGGGAAGTAGAATTTACTTGTTGCTTCACCACAAACCATATTGTATTTGTAAAATAAATAATTTTATTATTTTACATGTCAGCTGAAAACTGATGTGACATAAGGTGAACGGTCACAACAAGTAACTCTAGCCGTCCAGGCAACTTGGTCACCTGGAATGAGTTCCCATCGTCAGTTCATATGGAACTAGAGCAGTCCCTCCATAAAGTGCATACCTCCGCCCTGTGCTTGAATACCAACATTACACAGGCTGTGTATGTTGGGCGAAACTGCAGCATATCCTCAAAGAAATAAGGAAATGCCCGTTGTATTTAAGCACATTTTTTTCTTGAGTGCTGCCTGAACACGAGGGGTGATTCAAATAATTTCTGCTTTAGTACATTCAGTTCTTTAAAGCTTTTTATATTTAAATTGTAGTAAACCATTGATACATGTTCTGTTTCTGTGCAATTGTTATTCCAGGACTGTTATATCCTATGATACTCTCAGCCAAGCCCTGATGCCTTTGGAGACTTTAACTTCATCAGGTAAAAGGCTTTCTGTTCATCTTATTTAATGCCATTTAGATTTCTATTATACCTGTCTCTTATACACATCTAGATGTGTATAAGAGACAGACATAATAGTGTGGACCCACCCAAATACAGTATGAGCATAACACTTTTATTTGTCACGTAACATATAATAGTTTGGACGCACCCAAATATGAGCATAACACTTTTATTTGTCACATAACATAGGCCTAGTGTGGACGGAGCTTAAGTTTGCGCTTAACTTTGCCAGTCAGATATGCATCAAGTCTCATGGGTACATGTTTCTTCCTGCACAATGACATTTGTATCACATTAACACAATGTGAAATACTTAGATGCCTATTACAATACGCACTATCAAAAAATCTTCAATACCAAGTTGACGGGGGCTGTAGCCAACATGCACCGGAAAAATCGCTAACATCTTAGCAGAGTTGACACCAACATTTTCCTCACGAAGGAACTAAGCTTTATAGAGGTCAGAAAATTCCACCATGGACCAGTAAAAATTTTGAAATAAATGTATGATTGGTATTAAGGGTAAAATCTGGGCTACCACAACTTGGTTGGGTCCATCTTCTGATTTATGTTACAGTGGCAGATCCAGGAACTCAAAATAGAGGGGGGGCCGGACCTGAGGTACTTTCACAGATGGAGGACTTGCTGTATATCACCGCGGCCCAACTATAGCAAGAAAATTTGTGATTATGGCACCTTTAGATGGCCTGAAATTGCACTCTCAGACTTTATATCTCCATTAAAAAAAAAGTTAAAACAATTTAGGAGTAGGGGGGGGGGGTGCTGGGCCCCTTGAATCCGCCACTGTATTACAAATCCATGCATTAGCAATTTTAAAACAAATGAGGTTGGAATGTGAAAGTGAGTGTATTGAGACTAGCGGTTTAAACAGATTGAGTAAATGCGGCTGAGGACCAAAGTAAGGACAAATCAATCGGTGGCATATCTAGAGGTGCACAGGTGGTGGAGGGGCCCAAAAAATGTCCTCACAAAATCACATTGAAGTAGTTGGAAATAAGTTATTTTGTGACTCCTCATTTAATTATCACCCCCATTACAGCTACCCCTTTAAGATATGCCACATTGGAATCAATGGACCTTTCCGCTAAGCTCCGCCCCTTGGATACTGTTGCTAAGGTCCCACAAGACGGCAAGACGGCAGTGTTAAAACATACACGAACACGTGTGTGTGTGTGTGGGACAACACGTGTCTGTTAGACGCGCGCGCATTCCTAGCGCTGTTCTGATTGGTTAGTTGTTAAGTTTGATTGACACTTCGGAAAGGTCTATTAAAGGCTGTCCAGCCCCATTTTCCCAATCAATAATATATATTTAAATTAGCTATATTTTTTTATAATTAAAGTAATTTTTGTAACAATGGAAGAATTCACAATCATCCACCATATTTTGAATTTTATGTCTATCCAGATGTGGCTTGTTGTTGCTTACAATATTATTATTAAAGTATTCCTCATATATCAAATAACTGGAAATTTTATTAATAATTTCTTTTATTTGTTCAGGCAAAAGATACAATACAAAATACATTACAAAGACTCTTAGTAGACACTAGCTGCCCGGAAGACACAAAAGCAGCCTAAAAAAATTTGTATTGTAGAAGTTCATATCAACTTGATAGTCACAAAAAACTAAACCAACTTCCTTGTTTCTGTTCATTCCTAAACCATGTCATAGTTTTGCTGGACTTTGGGTATTAAAACCGTTCAATTAATGAGCAACATCATCATTGTTATAATTTAGCTGACAGCTTCCTTGAAACCAAATTCTATCACTTAAGAGCATGCAAATTCAAACGATTATAGTTTTATTCAAAAGAATATATAGGAAATCCAGTGACCAAACTTTTTTCTGCTACTCCCTGTCTTATAAAATATATACGAGGAAAGGCTCTGTAGTACTCATATTTTTTCCTCTGTTATATCACTCAAAATGTATTTTCATTTTTATTTTTTTCGTCTTTTTTCAATTATTTTCTTATAATATTGATTATTATTTTTTATCATTATTGTTGCTGACATCTCATTGAACCACCGTAGCTCTTTTTTACATCTCTTTTTCCTTAATCTCTTCCAAGAACCATTCTCATAGACACTGGTATTCACTAAGATTGATCCATTTTCGTTACAGTAACATCGCACCTTATTTAACTTTTCCTTGTTTCAATTGCCAGAGTTTCTACTCGATTTGCGTTTACACAAACCTCTTGGGTGAAATGTTACTTGGTAATCGCATTAGGCCTAGACACAAGTTGTGATAATGGGAAGCATATGCAAAATGGATGCAAGTAGTTCTATCAGAAATATATTAGTGCAGCCCTTCCAAACTGGCCAGCAATCTCACTTTGAGACCAGACCTGATAAAGAGGACGGTCGTTATTCTTCTCTGCTTCTGTTAATTTATATCATCTGTCTTTACATTGTCGTCAGCTTTGCTACATTCGTTGAATACAAACCGATCAGAGCTGATGTTTCAAATGGCACTATTACGTTCATATTACTCGCCGCTGTCGTTGTTATGACTGTATTTATCTGCCGACGTGCATCATGGCAAACACACGGCATACTGATATATCCTATTCACATTGATGATGCAGAATCTGTAAATATGCGTCAGATTCAACTTTCTTTGTACGGTATCTATTTATTCGGCACTGGCGTCATTGTGTACTCTATTTTCAGATTTCTACAGGTAGTACAATGTCTTAATTTTTTTCATTATAAAGAGCATTTTATAGTCTTAGTGATCTACCTGATATTCGACGTAAGTCGCATCATCTTTATTACAGTTCAGATGATTTTCTTTCGTGTGTTTAAGACAGCTGTGATGGTGAGTACTTGCTGGTTCCGCTATACCTTCATTATAATCATTGCTGCCAACATGTGTTGTTGGTTTGAGGTTATGTCAATGGAGGCAATGGAACGCTTAAATGTCACCACACAATGGACGCCAGTGAGTATCAACAATGACATTCAGGAACTAGACGAACGTCATATATCATGTTATAACTCAACAACTGCGTTAGATCATAAAATTGGAACTGTTCGGTCTACGTTGGTTCCATTTGTATCAGAATATTCAATAATGGCAGCAGGAATTCTTTTTCGATATTGGGAGTGTCTTTCAAATAATTACCCGCTGAGGAGTAACGTTGGTGAAGAGGAAGCCGATTCTTTACTAGAGAATGAGTCTGATGTTTTTGATTCACAGCCGCAGTCGAGACCTCAAAGGAATACGACAAGTTCGCCAAGACGTCGATACCACTGTCGATCTTATTTATTACCATTTATTGCTACGTTGATCTCAATACTTCTTCTTGTCAGCGCCAGTCTTATGTTTAAGGATGATGGAACGTTTGCTTTGTCTGCTAATATAGCGTATATTTTTATTGAGACTGGATCCAACCTCTGTATGTGTTTCGTAGCATATTTTGCTTTCAAGTACATCTCACATTTGAAGTATGGTCGTCAAAAATATCTTAACAACCACGAAATATTGTGTCTGATATCTATTGTGGGATTAATAATCATCAGCATATGTACAATATTATCATCAGTAGCAGAGCTTTTGCGTAGGACAGACGACACGATGGAATCGATTGTTTGTGTTGGAAATCTTCTTGAAGCATTGACTGGTATGGTAGAAGGTTGGCTTCAGACTTCACTTATAATTGCTGTGCGTCGCCGCCTTCTCGAGGACAGAAATCAATCGTGTTTGAAGGAATGTTTGTTGTATTTAGCTATCGGCAACCTGGCTATGTGGATCCACGATAGCTTCATAGCAACTAACCTTTACAACGTTGAATCCATGCCAAATGTCTGGTTCTTTGGTGAATCCACTTGGAATGTCGTTCATTTAATATTTTTTACAGTCGTGATATATTATCGATTCCATTCTTTTATTATGTTTACTGGCGCATATGTTTCCTTTAAAAGATGACAATAGGACCAATTTGATATGAAAAGCACAAATAGGCCTATTAAAGATATTTTTTATGATTGTTTTTGTAGTTTGCATGGGACAGTACATAATAAATAACATTATACTTTTTAATGTGAACATTCCCACCCAAAAAATGCCGTACCGTTTATTTTGGTCGTCTCTTTTGAAATGTTATCACTTACAGTGATAACATCACTCAAATATCACTCAAACTAAAATTCTTGAAAAAGTAGATTTGTATATATCTTGACTCAAACTCAAATTATCTACTGTTGTTCTTAACAAATTTGATATTATTAGAACATAATGGCTTAGGCCTATATATTATTTTCCTAGAATTTTATTATTTCATATAACAGAGAAATATACACTAAACATAAAAGGAAAATTCAAATAATGCGAGTAGTCCTATTCGAATGTAGATCATTTAAATAATTCATATAAAAATAATAAATATAATTGGGCCAATTGCTATAGGTTGACGAGAAACAAGATATCGTAAATTGAAAATCAAAATTACTTGTTACTTGTTGCATAATTGAGATATAGATTTCAGATCATCAATTACATTGTCAATCAATTTAAAGTCTTGTTTATGAGTTATAAAGTGTAATTGAATAAAATTGAATTGAATAAGGTCCCCGACGGGAGGGCCCAATGTCCCCGACGAGAGGTAAGATGTCCTCGACGAAAGCAAAGTTGACGTGTTTGATCTTCGATTAAAGGTTCCGATAGTGGTCCAGGGACCGAATCCCCGGAAACAATTTTGACAATTTAAGGGTTTCAAAGGCTTATTTAACCGATTTTAGAGTCTACTTATATGTAGAAAATACATATAGGCCTAGGCCTAATTTTTTCCCCGACGAATTGTGCTTTTTCTCCCCGGTGCCCCCCCCCCATCCCCTCCTCACGGCGCCACGCCTGTTCGCGTATATAGTACGGTACGCAGAAACTCGAAGTGTTTATTGAAAAACGAATAATAGCAGTGGCGTAACGATGGGGGCCAAGGCCCTGTGGATTTTTTAGTGTGGGGGCCTTTTGGGTGCCGGTCGCCAATTCCATTGTGAGATTTTTAGATGTGCTCATTTTTTAATTATGTTTGTCATTGCATTCTAAATGTTTTAACGACAAAATGAATTACGGTATATAATATGAGTGGCGAATCCAAGAATGTTTATTAGGGCCCATGGAGAGAATTTCACTGATTAAATGTCAATAACACCTCAATCCTACCATGGTTGTGGCTGAGAAAAAAATGTATGATTACGACACATCTAACTAGCCGGAAATGGCACTTAGACTTAAAATTTTAAAATGTAGGGCCCCTTTAATTCGCCACTGAATATATAATATGCAGTCGATGTCAGAGATACGCTATGCTGTTATGTATCAACAAAGCCCTTTTGAGCCAGGGTGCTAGATCGAAGATCATGTGGTAAAGGGGCCATAGGGGGCAATGGCCATGCGGACCGCTGCACAAGAGCGAATAGGCGTTACGCCACTGAATAATAGATTTAGGACGCAAAACCTCTAAATTAGAGTATTTTCGCCGGGCGCAGACTCCAAGTTTTCGGAGGACATAGAACACCAGCGTCCCTATTCTTGCACACTGATTCGATATTTTGATCGGTGTAGTAGGCCGGTCCGATTTTCTGGTTTAAATGCACCTTAAGTAATTTCTTGTGTGAACTATTAAAAAAAAATTATCTTATACCAGATTTGTCATTAATTTTTCGAAATCTGTTATAATTTCTTTTTTCAATTTCATGAAGTTTCCGTTTTTGTATGCTATATAAATTTCTATATTATTATTATTATTATTATTATTATTATTATTATTATTATTATTATTATTATTATTATTAGTAGTAGTAGTAGTAGTAGTAGTAGTAGTAGTAGTAGTATTAGTAGTAGTAGTAGTAGTAGTAGTAGTAGTATCTTGATTTTGTCCGAATAAATGAATGAAGGAATGAATGAATGAAGTATAACATAACATTAGATTAAATTCTCACTAAATAGGCCTAATTTGCTTTATATCAAATTAATTGCAGTTGTGACAACGTGGTTTTTTTTTGAATTTTAATTTATTTAATTTAAATCAAATCCGCCAGCGGGAAGCCCGCCACTTATAGAATATTTTGTTTCCAACCATGTTTAAAAATGCATAAAAGATACCGTACATACACAGTAGTAAAATTTATCAAAATAGGTACTAGGTACTAGTAATCTGATGGTAAAACCAGTAAGTTCTTTTTGAAGTTCACATCAACTCGATTGTCTAACCAAATCAACTTCCTTGTTTCTGTTTAATCCCTAAATCATGTCATAGTTTTGTTGTGCCTTGGGTATTGAAACTATTCGATAAGCAGCATCATTGTTATTATAATATTAACTGTGTATTTTTTAAGACAACTTCCTTGAAACAAATCGCTATCAATTAAGAGCATGCAATAGAAACAATTATTGATTGAATTCCTCACCCACATATCCAAGCGCTTTGCATCCTTTGTGAAAAGCGCTATATAAATTTCTATATTAGAATTTCGATTTTTTAAATAATTTTATTCCAATTTTTCAATCCGTTGAGGCATCAATTACTGTAAGAATATACATTCTACTTCGAGTACTCTGTTCCCATAGGAAATAAGTGACCAAACGATTTAACTGCTGCTCCCTGTCTTAAAAGATATACAATTAAGGGCAAGGCTCTTTAATACCCATTTTTTCCTCTGGCTATATCACACAAACTCCATTCCCCGTTTTTTCTTCTATTTATATTTTTTAATTTTTTATCATTTATCCTTATTGTTGCTCATTCGTCTATCTTAGCTCCCTCTTCTATTTCTTGTTTTTTCTTAATCTCTTCCGACATTCGTAAACAACCCTTCTTCCGTTGTCACAATTCCCCTATGCCCTTTTCATAGAACCATTTTCATAGACACTGGTATTCACTTACGACTGATTAATTTATTTGAATTACCAGAGTTTCTGTTCAATTGTAAACAGCGTCTACACTTGTGTAAATTGTGTAAACTGTTAGTAATATCATTAGACATAAATTGTGATAATGGGAAGCATATACAGGATGGCTGCAGGTAGTTCTATCAGAAATATATTAGTGCAGCCCTTCCAAACTGGCCAGCAGTCTCACTTTGAGACCAGACCTGATAAAGAGGACGGTCGTTATTCTTCTCTGCTTCTGTTAATTTATATCATCTGTCTTTACATTGTCGTCAGCTTTGCTACATTCGTTGAATACAAACCGATCAGAGCTGATGTTTCAAATGGCACTATTACGCTCATATTACTCGCCGCTGTCGTTGTTATGCTCGTATACATCTATCGACGTAAATCATGGCAAACACGTAGCATACTGATATTTCCCATTTCACATTACCAGTCTATAAATATGCGTCAGATTCAACTATCTTTCTACGGTATTTATTTATTCGGTACTGGCGTTATTGTGTACTCTATTTTCAGGTTTGTACAGGGAGTACAATGTCTTTTTCACTATAGAGAGCCTTTTATAGTTTTAGTGATCTACCTGATATTCGATGTAAGTCGCATCATCTTCATTACAGTTCAGTTGATTTTCTTTCGTGTGTTTAAGACAGCTGTGATGGTGAGTACTTGCTGGTTCCGCTATACCTTCACTCTAATCATTGCTGCCAACATGTGTTGTTGGTTTGAGGTTATGTCGATGGAGGCAAAGGAACGCTTAAATGTCACCACACAATGGACACCAATGGATATCAACAATGACATCCAAGAACTAGACGAACGCCATATATCATGTTATTTAAACTCAACAACTGCGTTAGATCATAAAATTGGAACTGTTCGGTCTACGTTGGTTCCATTTGTGTCGGAATATTCAATAATGGCAGCAGGAATTCTTTTTCGATATTGGGAGTGTCTTTTAAATAATTACCCGCTGAAGAGTAACGTTGGTGAAGAGGAAGCCGATTCTTTACTAGTGAATGAGCCTGATGTTTTTGATTCACAGCCGCAGTCGAGACTTGAAAGGAATACGACAAGTTCGCCAAGACGTCGATACCACTGTCGGTCTTATTTATTACCATTTATTGCTACGTTGATCTCAATACTTCTTCTTGTCAGCGCCAGTCTTATGTTTAAAAATGATGATGGAAAGTTTGTTTTGTATGCTAATGTAGCGTATATTTTTATTGAGGCCGGATCCAACTTCTGTATGTGTTTCGTAGCTTATTTTGCTTTCAAGTACATCTCACCTTTGAAGTATGACCGCCAAAAATATCTTAACAACAACGAAATATTGTGTCTGATATCTATTGTGGGATTAATAATCATCAACATATGTACAATATTATCATCAGTAGCAGAGCTCTTGCATAGGGCAAACGACACGATTGAATTGATTCTTTGTGTTGGAAATCTGCTTGAATCATTGACTGGTATGGTAGAAGGTTGGCTTCAGACTTCACTTATAATTGCTGTGCGACGTCGCCTTCTCGAGGACAGAAATCAATCGTGTTTGAAGGAATGTTTGTTGTATTTAGCTATCGGCAACCTGGCTATGTGGATTCACGATAGCTTCATAGCAACTAACCTCTACAACATTGAATCCATGCCAAATGTCTGGTTCTTTGGTGAATCCACTTGGAACGTCGTTAATTTACTGTTTGTTCCAATCGTGATATATTATCGATTCCATAATTGTATTATGTTTACCGGCGCATATGTTTCTTTTAAAAGATGACATACTATATTTTGTGTTTGAAAATATCTGTGTGTGGGTGGGTCTGCAGTGCATTAGTTGGGTTGGAGGACTTATTTTGGAAATTTAAAGAGGGGGGTTTCGCCAGAAAAGAGGGAGTTTGCTACAAAAGGGGGGTTCTCCCAAACCATAAAAAACCCCCCTGGATATGGGCCTGAGAATATCTCGACGTTTCGATTGAGTTGCTTCAATCGTCTTCATGAGAATAATAATAAGATTAACGTTGAAAATAAGATATCGTATATTGAAAATCAAAATTGCATAACTGATATAATTCAATTCAGATCATCTTAACCAATTTCAAGTCTAGTTTATGAGTTATAAAGTGTAGACCTAATTGAATAAAACATATAGGCTTAATATTCCTTCTTCGTGGAATTTGGTTTACGAGTAAAGCTACGTTCACATAAAGCCCGGATTCCGGTCCGGAGTCCGGAGAAAAAAGGCGTGGAAAATGTGTTCTGTGGTAAATAGTAAGACCGTTCACATCAAATTCGTACGATTTCCAATCAGGACTTCAGATCCGGACCAATGGATCTGAGAGCCATTTGTATTCTGAAATTTTCTTGGACCAATCAGCAACAAGCTTGGTTGGTTGGAACCAATCGAACACACGCATACTTAAACCTACTCTAACATATTGATCCGATTTTCTGATGTATGTAGTTCATATTAAAATAGAGAAAGTAAAAAATAAAGAAATTAAAAAGTAGAGTGTAAACTCAACGCCACGATTGAGTGACGTCATAAAGAGTAGAAGAG